TCCTTGGCAGAGATGCCTGTCCCATTCTGCACGCCCAGCTCACTTAATGGGCACAAAGAAATGGGAGAAAGTGCAGGGAAAAAAACCCAACAACTCGACCCAGTCTAAACCTTGGGAAATCCAACAAGGTCTGCATCCCTTTGAAAACTAGACTCAGACGTTTCTGCTCAAAGTGAAACCATGCTTCTCACCGAGGGCTGGAGACAGCAAATGGAGCCTTAGTCATACACAGTTAGTTTCAAACTTATGTTGCTTCTCACAGAGCGAAATCAATGTACAGTATATTAAAAACAATCACTGCAGCCCTTAAATGATCCAATAGTTTAGCTTTGAATGCATTCAAGCTAATGGGGGCTTTAATGGCTTCTGACAGATCATTCCATTGATCAAGGGGCATGTATGAAATACGCTGCCTACTAAACTCTGTTTTGATTTTAAGAAAAGAAAACTAAACTTCCATGGTAAACAGGGCTTGATTGTTCACGTTCACCGGGATCCCCTCTCAGCCTGACCCTGGTTGGGAGCAGAGGCAGAGGACAATGGGAATCCTATATACCTGGCTTGCCTCTGTCCCGACTCTAATCAAGGCGTAATCAAGTGGAAATTTCTGTCTGAAGAGTTGGGGGAGAGGGGGAAGGAGGGTGACCAGAGGTCCAGTTTTCTGTGTTGGATGAGTTACCAGCAGTAGCTTTGGCTGCTCTGAGAAATCGATTCATCCCTTGTGGGGCTCCGGGGTTGGTAGGTTAACTATGCTTGCTCCAAAGTGAAGAACTGAATCCCTCATTTGAAAGGAAAGCAGGCTTGTTCAGTGGGAGGCAGTAGTTTTGGAAAAAAGCAAAGGAGAACATGGTCCCTCCACCTGTGTGAGGCTCCAGATCATTTTATGAAGTGCTGGACATAACTCGGCTCGGGTGTGGTATTTTTGACAGGACTTATGGAATCTGAAAAAAATGAAAGAGGAGTCTTTAACGTAATTCACTGTGACTATTCTTGTACAAGAGGTGCTCTGGCTGCTTGTTGTGGCTTCAGGAGTGAGCTATATGCTGCTCCTGGATCAGACCTGCCTTTGCCTCATCAGAAGTGATAAGCATGCAGAAATTCTTCCATTATCCATGGAGGTCAAACCACTTCCCTTGGACCTATGTAGGATGTGGGTGTCTATACCGCTGTTGGGTAAAGGCGCAGAGTGCACAGTGCTGGCAAGTTTTCCCTGTGGAGCTTCCCCAGCTTATAGACCCTTCTTTCCCCACGTCTCAGCAGTGGGGAAAGGCAAGCAGGGTACCTTCAAAACTGGCACTGTGAAGGCAGTGATTGTTGTGGTCTTCATTTGAGCTTTAACACCAAGCAAGACCATGTAGAGGAGCTTTGTGCCACAGTCACTAACCAAGAGGGTCAGAATTACTCTGAACCCAGGGGGTCCTGAATAGCCTTGACCGTTTGTCCCCATCCTTGGGGCATGGTGCTCTCCCAGGCCAACACTTCCCATCTCTCAGTAGGAAGTTACTGCATTTACAGATCAGAAACAAAGGGAAAACCCGAGTGCTCCAAGCACTTCATTTGTATTGGTTACATGTTTGGTAGGTGGCTTTTGTAAAATTGATGAATTTTGTCTAAAGGCAAGTGCAGACAGGCAAACAGATCTGTATCTGCTGTGATTCATTTAGCCCGACACACATGTGCAGAAGAACTATTTTACCTTGATTCTTTCAGGACTGATGAAAAGTAAATGCGAACAAAGTCATGAACTGCATCATTGGAAAAGAATCACTGGATCTAATGCTGGAAGTTAATTAATGCTTCCCTCCCCTTGAAATAGACCGACCCTAGTACTTAGACGTTTGGAGTCAATAAACAATTGTTGTACACAGATCATCCATTAGAAGGTGATGGCAAGAATTTTTTAAGCAAATCTAAAATAGCAAAGGGTGACCTATTCCTGCTGTACTAATGGGAGTACTAAGGAACCATTTTTCATAGTATCTTATTTATAAAAAGTTCCAGGCCATTTGCCTAGAAAAAAACCAGAAGCTGTGAAGACCAAGTGGAATAATATGTGCTGGTAACATGCTATTCTTCTTAAACCACAGCTACCTGCAGCCTCTTTTTTGGTGACTATCCAATATTTCAGCTGAGACATCACTGATCATAATAATAATTTATATGTATTGAGTGATTACTAAGTACTGGATGAGGGGACTCGACATCATGATCATGAGGGAGAGAGCAGTCTGATGAGCTGGGAAGGTGTTATTATCTTCTCCATTATATCAACAATGGCTTAGAGCACAGAGAGGTTAAGCCTTTGCCCAAGTCACACAGCTCCAACTCTGATCACAGGAGACTGGGTTAATACTAATAGCTACTGCTTCACTGAAGACCTGTGTATGCCAGGCATGGCTAGAGGTATCTATATCCACGTTAATTTATTGAATCTCCACAGTCACCTTAGGTAAGAGCTATACAACTCTCTAAGAAGAAATAGTGGTTTTCTTATGTGAGTTACATTACTCGGATTTTGTAGACAGTTTTCTACAGAGGCAGGAAGATTCCAAGTTTGAGCCTAGCTTGGGCAACTTAGCGAAAGCCTGCTTCAAAATTTTTAAAAAAGGAGGGGGACTGGGGATGTAGCTCAGCATGAAGCCCCTGGGTTCCATGTTCCACTACACACACACACACACACACACACACACACAAACACACATGAAAGAAAACAGAGGTTTGATAGCTTTAGGGTCATATAGAGCACCAGGACAAACCCAGAAAATCTGCAGCCAGAAGCCTCTGTTGTCACTCAGGAATCAGAAGATTTGAGAAATCCAATGACTGTTACCAAAACAGACTGGGGCAGGTGCAAAGGGGACTCGTCTTTGTTACAGAATGATGTAGGCCAGACACCAGGAAGAACATGCTTCTGTTCAGTGAGTGGGAATCAGAACTGTAGGAATGGGGGGCCGACACCCAGTCTCCCTCCTGGCTGCAGTGGTCTAGTGGGGGGTGTGGGGTGGGACAGACCCTCAGGCTCTCTCCTGGAGGTCCGGAATATTTAAGGGTATTTCAGGCAAGTAAGAGAGCCAGTGTGTCTTCCTTTCCCTGACAACCACTGACACCTGCTTCCCCAGTGCAGCCCTGCCCTGGGCGCCCGTGTGGCCTCACAGGAAGTCATTACTGGCCGGCTCTGCTCCTGCCTTTCCCACCCTGTCCCCTAAAAGCTGCTGGCTTCCTCACTGCCACAGTCATTATAGCATGCCTGTGCCTTTATGGTTGTCAAATTGATTTCACCACCGTGATACCTATGGCTCCCAATGAAACTTAATTAAAAATACCATTTAATCACAAAGTAACAAAGGCAAACTGGATAAATGGCATTACCACTTCGGCGCATTTTAATCCGCACTGCTTTGCTCCAACTGGATCTGTCTGAATGAGAATTGCCTTTTCAAATCAGAATCCCCCTGTCTTCCATGTGCTTGCCTCTGACAGACCTCCGAAACAAACAGTATTTAGCATGGCACAGATCCAAATGTATGCAATTTGCCCAGTGGTAAAATCAGCCTTAACTAGAGCAAAAAAAAAAAAAGTTGCGTTTGAAAATACCTGCCCTGGAAACACACACTCTTCTACTTAGCACGGGGCCTCCATTAAGTAGAGCCTATGGAATCTCATTTCCAGCATCCCTCGATTGAGTTAAGTGATGGATTTAGAAGCTTATTACTAAAATGTGTCACAAATGATGCTATGACCCTGCTCTTTTCTGTCTAGAAAACTCTCCTGGGCTGGAAGGTGCTGGTGAGGGTGCATGTGGCAGTGTGAACTCTCCAAACAGGAGGTTCCCACAGGCCCTTGCAGGCCCCGGAGGTGGGGAATACCCAACTGGAAAGGAGCTCCTTTGGACTGAGTCCTCTGCTCCCTCAGAAACCCTTGGAATCCAGGGAGTAGGCAGAGCAATGGTCCAAAGCTTAAAAATGTGCTTCAAGTTACCCCTTGCCCTCCCTTCATAAACCTCTTTCTTAGGGTCAGTGAAAGAAAACCCAAGCACTGCTCCTGGCTTTTCTCCAGCTCCATCTCCAGGGCTCCTCCTTACTTTCTCTGCCTGGGCCATCAGAGCCTTTTGCCTTCCTTGAGCACTTCCCTGCCTCAGGGCCTTTGTGCTAGCTGTTCCTTCTGGAAAGCTTTTCTCTACCACCCCATCCCCAATTGGCTGGCCTACAGCTCTTCCTCGGTCATTGGTCACAAGCTGATTCCTCTCTCCTCCAGTGAGGCAGTATCCTGCCTAGCACTTGGGACCACCTGGAATGATCTCACCCTTTATTTGCTGGCTTACAGCCTGTCTCCCCCTGACAGCATTAAGTTCCTACTGCCATCACTACATATTCCTGGCCCTCTAGGAGTCTCGAAGCCTCTGGAAGGCAGAGATTTGTCCCTGGATTCCAGGAGTTGCCATAGTGCTAAGATGTCCAGAAAGAGGAAGGTCAGTGTACCTAGGTACAAAGGGATTTCTCAGATCACTTTTCTCAAGATAGCAGGGACCCGATGACCAGGGCAGTCTGGCAGGAAAGCAGGCAGGGCTGGGGCTGATGCAAGGTAGTCCAGGGCCGGGCTTTCCCCTCTTCTACACTCATTCCTATAGCTGTTGGGGACTCTGGGCCCATGTTCCCAGGAGAGTCCTGCCCAGCTCACTGGGGGAACCAGGCCTTCCTGTGGCCTGCAGCCCACGAGCTGGCACTCACTGCCCTGCCAACTGCCTTTCTGTTGTCTCTTGCCTTCTGTCCTTCTAGCCACATGAACCCCCCTGGGGAGCATGTAACTCTCAGGCACGCTGAACTCATGCTAACCAAAGCCCACCATTTCTTCTGAAAAATGTGACCTTGTCTTTCGGATTCATTTAAGGGAAAGGCTCCTCCAATTCCACTGTATATAACCTGGCTGCACCTGAGAATTCCATCCATCCACCTGGGCCCCATCCATACCAGCAAAGCAAGGAGAAAAGTGCAAAATCTTACTTGGTTTCTTATCCTTTTAATATCTTTATTGTATACGAATGTTTAATGACGCACATGGCATTAGTACAAGCAGTTCACAGGAACAGTTCAGCAAGTGTACACATGGATTGGGGTGAGCACAAACATCTCTCATTTCTCCTACAGGGGTACAAACAAAGTCTGGAAAGCTTTGGCATGGAAGTGTAGGTCAGGTCCGCAATAAGTGGTAATAGGGAGCCATGGGGTCTACTGCAAACCACCGAGGGCCACAGCCTGCTTCTGAACCGGAAGACGATGCTTGGTGTGCTGCCATGCTAGGATGGAGGTCAGGGACTGCTGGATGTTCTGAGTTCTAAAGCGAATAGAGACATTTGAATCTGATGTGAAATCTCCTGATTTTAAAATATAATGAAGAACAAATGTTGTGGGAGCTAAATAGAACACTGGGCTGGATGGCCCAGGGTAGGAGGCCCAGCCTGACTTCTGTATGCCATGTACTCCTTACCTACATTATTCCATATAATTGGTCAATACCCTAGGAGGTAGCACTTCACCTCTCCTTCACTGTTGAGGAAACTGAGGCTCGGAAACATCAAGGAAGGAATCTAAGGCCTGAGAAATTCGAGTCTCAACATGATAAAAACCTGAGTGCTTTGTGAACACAACTTTTTTGCAGCCAGTGAGATTCTGTTGGAAGGAAAGAGCATTGTGCGTGACAGTTCCCCAGCTTCTCAACAGAGACAAGGGAAGGCAGTGGGTTGAGAAGAGGGGCTGATGATTCTCACAGATTCCGGGGACACCAAGGTAGAAAGTGAGAGTTGCATTAATGGTGGCATGAGACAAAACCAGCCTAGGGTGGAGGAAGAGAAAAGTGTCCCCTTCTAGCTCACCTTACTGGCATATAACAGTGCCAGATTCATTGGGTATTTAATGCTATGCCAGGAAGTGTCCTAGGTATGGAGCTAGATTACTTAATCTTCATCTAAGGAGGTGGTGTCTTCGGCGCACTGCAAAGGAAACTGAGGCACAATAACTTGCTAAGGTCACACAGTTTCCTGGAGTCTCAGTCCCAGCACTCTGAAACCAGAGCCCGGGTTTAACCTCCACTCTGCACAGTCCTTCTGGCTCCAATGTCACTGGGATGGGCACTGGGGTAGCTCAAACCTCACTGCCACCTATCATTATCTAGAAAGGGGGAATTATAGAAAAAACTGTCCCATGCTGGTTAAATCCACAAAGCAGTATAGGACTAGATCTCTGTCCCTATCACTAGATCAGGTACACTCCCTGAAGACAGGCTGTCAGCTTTGTTTTATTTGTTGGCACCTCCCCATTCCCGGGTTCAGGGCTCCAAGGGTGGGCTTCTACTGAGCTCTGTCTCAGAGATGGGAAAGAGGCTCATCGTCAGAGAGACACTGCTCTCTCATCTCTTTTATGGGAATAGCAGCTACAGGGAACTGGAAAAGAGAATGCTGCTCTTGGACTTTTTACAGACATCTCATCCAAGAGGACTTCCTAAAGTGATGCACATGCCCCACAGCTGCATTGTCCACAGGAGCAGCCACTAGTCACAAGTGGCCTTTAAACACTTGAATGTGGCCAGGGCATGTGGGGAAACGAATTTTTAATTAAAATTAAAAGTAGATTTAAATTAGAGTAGCCACAGCTAGCTTGGGACACTATATTGGGTGGCACAGGTACAACAGGGGATGGTGAGAGGCTGAGATGGATGTCTCCAAGCTCTGTCTTTCCCCTGATACTGGGTCTGCTCTGAAGGGGAAGAAGGTGAGGCTTTGTCACAGGCTTGGCCTGTGAAGGGCTCCCATGAATGAATCTGAGTGGCAACAGTTATTTTGGGGGAAAGTTCCTAAATCAGACTATAACGCTGTGTCATTTTTCAACATTTTAATGCTCATGGGTGCTATCCCCTAGCTGTTTTGAACTGGGACCCAGGTACAACCTAAGGGCTAAGAGAAGTCTGCCCCCGATCAAGCCCATGGTAAGGTTGGAGAAAAAAAAGCCAGACATCTTTCCCTCTCCACCCATGTCTTGTGCCCCTTCTAGGATTCTGTTTCCTGAAGCTGACCTCTGAGTTCTGAAACAATGTCTGCGAGATCGAAGGGCAGAGGCATTGAGGGATCATCCTTCTCCCAGTACGGCCGACATTCTGGTTTCTGATCCCCTGGTAAAGTTCGAGCAACTCGGGACTGGCACCTGGAAGCATAAGAAGAGGTAATTAATCCATTGGGGAAAATATCTGAATGAGTCAAGCTCATGGCACATTTAGAGGCCAATATTTAAAAATGCTCCCAAAACAGCCTTCTCTGTTGAAGGTCATGGTGATGATCAGGAAGAGTGAGCTGCAAGGCAGAAAGCAGTGTTTATAAGAATGAAGAATTGTTCCTTATCAAGCTGGGCTTTTTTTTTTTCCCAATCCCAGGTTTGTATTATCTCAAGTGACTTCGAAAAAGCCAATCATCAGGGAAATTCAGTTACTCTGCCTTTAAAATGGTGAATTATTTTTTCATTATCTCCACTGTTATTTAAAGTGTGTGATTAAGCCATTATCAGATTTAAATGTTTGTGGGATTTCGATGTATTACTAGATTACTGGGAAAGATTAAATTGAATTTACTGCATTAAAACATCCAAGAATAGATTAAACAATATTACAGACTGGGATTGACTTTGGAGATCCTGGAGATTTACAAGTGTCCCAGCTTGCTGTGCTCAGGAAAAGGCACTCCAAGGAGAGACTGGTTTATAAGGATATATGCAAATAGAGGTTAATAATCATTTCCACTGATGAATGGGTGGGGGAAACTTCCACAAAATTAAATTAAGAGGCTAGCAAGAGTTAGTCCCCAAGGAAAACACTTAAATCATGGTTTTTATTAAATGGATTATTCATCAATAGTGGAGAAATTAATTATCATATGCAGCTAAATGATAGCCTCATAGGAAAAAAGTTGGGAAAACATCATCATACCTTGGCAGGGATCTACCTCTCAGAGTCTAGTTTATTTAATATTGGACTGGGAGAGCTCAGTGGTGTTAGCTTTATTTATCTGAAAAATGAAAATCGGAGAAAAGGAAACAAATTGCACTAAGGAATGAACAATTTCGTTACTCTCTTGGAGAATGCATGGCACGTGTACCTAAATCAAATGCTATGAACACATTTTGAGGGAGTCACAAAGCTGCCCCTACCTTGCCCTTTTCTGAACTCTGCTCTAGGATCAATTAAAAAGTGGTCATACCCACCCTTCATCCTCTGACTGTACAGGGAATGACTGTGAAGAGATCAAAGACTGGGAGAGCCTAGCCCCACTCTAAGCCCAATGGTAGAGAAGGTTCCTAACTAAAAGACATCGCCTTCTCTGGGGAATTATTAATGGTGAGGGGAACCCCAGGGGAAAACATACTTCAACTTTACACCTATTTTCGCATGTGGTTAATTGCTATACCGGCATCCTCTGCACTCAATCCATCGTACATTACACATAACATTCCAATATATCTTCAGCTCTCCGCATCAGGCCCTGATAATAGTGCCTGTTAACATGCACTAAGTACTATTATGTAGCACATCACTTCATAAATAATAAGATTAGCTGACCTCAGGGCCTCAAGAAGAGTAATGTGTTTAAATGTTCTCATTATTTATTTAAAACAAGAATTAAAGCAACAGAAGCTGCTTCTGACAATCCTCTTAGCATAAATATTAAACTGTTTGCGCTGATAAGCATGCATACATGGAGGGACAGAGGGTGCATTCTGTAGACTACTTCACAATAGGTGCTGGGGACCACGCCGCGTGTTGGCCTTGCTCAAGATGCATCGCCATAGTTCCAGTGACAGTCTCTAAATCACTTGAAAGAGATGAGGGGGAAATTAATATTCAAGGAAAGCTGCGACTAATTACAAAAGAACTATGCAAAGCTTTTTAAATTGTGCTTTCTCTCTGCCTCAGAATTGTTGAGTGATGCTCAATTTACTGGCTAGGGAAAGTTATTCCAAATTGAGCATTTCAATCTCACAGTGGATAAATTATCCGTGCACACATTATCCTGCTTGGCAGATTAAAGGGCTATGATAAGTGTCGATCCACCTAGAATATCATAAGGTGTGCAAAAAGTCAATAGAGATGCTTTTTCACCTGTCAAATGGTTTTGCCTTCACACTTTGAGAAAGTATTAAAAATATTAAAATCCGCAGCAGAGATCTGCTTATGCTTTGTTGTACAAGCTTCCCAATGCCACTGGCTTTGCTTTTGGGAAAGCTGTTTCCCAGTTGTTTGCCATATTCTTTGCATCAAAGGATGGCTGGGGTGGGAGCTACTTCCACCCATGCAGACCCTAGTTGCATGTGTTTGTTGCCTCCATCTGGGCTTGGATGAGAACACTTTGTTGGATTTCTTCAGGGCAAATTCAAGATTGTTTTAAAGTTCTTCCTTTAATGCCTAGTGTGCCCTGCCAATTTCCAAATACAGTGTAAGGGTCCAGCAGAGGGCTCATTGTGTGAAGTGATGTATTTTTTTATTTACGGGAAAGGCCAGACACCCTCAACTCAGATTATGCTGTTTGATTCAGAATCATGGTAGACCATGGAACTGGAGAAGAAAGGGTTGAAGAATGACTTGAAGGAATGACCCTTTTTAGGTTTTGATTTCTCTTGCTCCAATCACTTGTTCTGCCTTCTTGGATCTCAATGTCCTGACATGAGAAAGTAGGTCCATTATAGACCGTTTATTCTCTGGGATCCTGGTAGGACATGACATCTGGGGCAAGTTTCTTTACCTCACCGAGCCTTGGCTTCTTGTCTGTAAGTGGGTATGATAATAATAATGATAATGATGACAATACAGCAGACCCCCCTCATTTTGTGGTTTTGCTTTCTGTGGTTTCAGTTATCCACAACAAAACATGGTTTGAAAATATTAAAAGGAAATTTTTAGGAATAAACACTTCGTAAGTTTTAAATTGTGTGCTGTTCTGAGTAGCATGATGAAATCTTGTGCCATCCAGCTCGGTCCTGCACAGGATGTGAGTCACTCCTTTGTCCAGTATAATTGTGTTGAATATGCTACTCACCCAGAATCATAGTTTCATGATCTAAAGTCACTTGAAGATGATCCTCCTTCTGATGCTATGTCAGAAGGTCAACAGCAGCCTAAGGCTGACTGTGGTAGGTATTTTTTGTCCTGTCCAACAGGATTCTAGCTTTCTTGTAGGGAATCTATCCCTTCCCCATGCTTAGCCATGTGGACTGGGGTCCACATCTAAGGCCAGGGAGAACCTTGACTGGCATAAGCTAAGCATATCCCCCTCTTCAAGACATAGTCATTTTTTTCTAGCTTGCACCAAGGAGCAGGGGTCTGGATGATACTGCTGGAGTAGCTATGTCAGACCTTATTGCCCGAGTTAGGCTTTTCTGTTACTTGCAACCCTAAGAATCCTAGCTGACATCCTGGCCATGCTTCCTACCTTTCCATTATTTCCACCTTTTACAACACCCACGGCCATGGCCCTGCCATGAATCTGGTGTGCTGCCAACACAGTGTAATGTGTGCAGAGATTACTTGAGTCTGACAGCATAAAAACACTGGCCTTTATCTTTAGTTGAAATCACATTTCGATTTGGTTCAAAAGTGAGGGAATGCCAGTGCCATCCTCCATTGGTCTTTGCAGGAAATAAACCAATTTTCATGACCAGCTGGATGCTCTTTCTAAAAAATGTTGAAAAGAGACCCCAACTTAGTATCATTCTCCAGCTACTGAGCCTACTAAGAAAGTTATAGCTTCTCCTTTCCACCTTGTCCTCACTACTCTTCTAAAGAGAAACCTGTTATTTTTGATGATTGTAAGGTCAGCCAATAAATTTGGATCTATTTGGAAAATGCTGTCCCTTTCATGAAATACTCCCTTTCCAAATTCTATTATTTCAATTCAAAGGACTCCATAAGCCACGCTCAAAACTGTGTGCTACTTAGGAACGGTTCTCCCTGAATAACCTTATTGACAGAACCAGAAGTGACCAAGAGGTGTCACACTGGCTGATCTGTTAGCAGATTGTTCAGAGGTCCCCCCAGTCTCCACCCCAAGGTGTAACTCATACAGGGCCTTGCTGCCTACTGATTTCCCCCAGGGCTGCACTTACATTTGGATGATCAAGATTGCAGCTACATTAGTGGACATTGGTCGCCATGCTAAAATTAACCACTTTAGCTAAAGTGTGTGTTAATTATGGGTATGCAAGCAGTCAATAAAAGGTTAATGCAAAAGTCAAAGGATAAATTTCTTCCCTTATTGCATCACTTCACAGACTAAATGACTAACATTATACTTTGTGTTTTTAATCAATAGGTTTTACAGTAATGTGCTGGTCATTGATTTTAAGAAAACATATACGGTCTTCTTCCTTGTCTCTAAATTTTGCAACAAATAAAGGACAGGTAACATTTCCATCACTCTTGAGGCAATGATAATGATTTCAGGAGAAATGGTTTGTGCTAATAGATTCATCGGGATAAACAATCTTAACACACACACACACACACACACACAAACACACACTCTCATACAAGTTAGAACTCTGTGGAGAAATATCACCAAACACAGGTCAAGAAAATGCACAGGCTAAGAAAAAAGAACCCTAAAGAGAGAATTCCTTACTAGTGAAGAAAAGAACAACTGATAAAAACAACAATTACATTTTGTATATTGTTCAAATGTCCCAAAGAATTTCAATACACAACACTGTTCTGTTTGACTTTCACAATGACCTGGGAAAGATGGCTGAGGTGGGTGTTTGGATCCCCTTCATGTGTGAGGACGGCCTTACCCAAGGTTCATCCATTGGTCAGGGGAACCTAGGGTGGGGCCAGGCCCTGGACAGCTGGCTGGCCGCCTTTCTACTTCATTCCATCTTTTTCATGGATTTCCATTTGGATTAAAATAGATCTTATCCATTGACATTTAAGCTGCTTATGCCAAATTTAGATATTTAAGAGATTCTATACAATTTTAGGGGGAGGAACAAAATGGTTTTATTTCTAGAAGAACTACTATTATGCCAAATGACTGAAAAAACTTATTTTTCTTCTTTTCATTCTAATGATTTTGAGGTCTCATAAGTGCTTAAGGGCTTCTCTGTCTGACCTTGAGAAAATATCTCAATTTTTCAGTTTCCTTAGTTGTTACATGAAGTTCATG